TAAAACCCCCCCCCCCCCCGTCTTAATTTACCTGGCCCTGAATAAAAATTTAATTTTGAAAATTATACCTCATTTTTAAAAAATCTCTATGGTATCACGTATTTATAATCTTCTAATACGTAACAGTTTCAAAAAAAAAAGAAGATAATAAAAGTAAAACTGCACGTTTATTACCATGCGCAGTATATCTTGCGTCCAACAGATGTTTACCCGATTCAGCCATAAAACGTTTCTACTCTGGCGCACGTGTCCAAAAAGCGTACGCTCGTTTTCATTTTGTTTCTCACTCGGCTCCGATAGATTCCACTTCCGCTATCTCATTGTTAAATTGAAACTCTGCCTTGAGCGTTGCGATCATTTTATCATTTGGCAAACGAGCATTTCATGCGGCACGACACACGGGCAACACTATCTGTCCCCGTACCTTTTCACGTGGTCCAACGGCAGTAAAAGAGCCACTGTGAAATAACGCAGATGAGAATTATTATATGAGCGGTTCATTCGTTCTTGCATAAGCGTACAGTTCGTTAGCAAAATGCTGAAAAATATAGTAGGAACGATTTTTCGTTATCGCGTTGTTTTCACCTTTTTTCCCCCAACGAAATATATCAACGAGACTCATAAGATCGATAGTGCGAAATATTCGAGTTACGTAAAATCAAGTGAGACCTAAATTATCTTGAGTTTCAGTAAGTTTCCATTGATTCGTTAAAATATCTTTTACTTAACACTGAAGGTACGCGTGGACCGATAGTAGCATGCTTTTTGGATTATGAAAAGAAAAGGATTAACGTCAAAGACGTTTAATTAATTAGGGATCATGGGTTCAAATTGAACCTTAGTCATCTCTTTACATTCAAGGCACCACCGTTGTCCTTTCATTGACTAATAGAAATTGTCATTGGCACTGTCACAGAAGAGCTGCTGCTTTACATAGCTAACGACATTCTAATTATTCGTCCTCCTTTGCATATCAAAGCACTCGACGTTAGATCCCTTTGGATAATTAAACAGGTGAAGCGTGTAAATAAGATATCCCCCAATTACGAAGACGTACGAAAACACGACAATTTCCTAATAGCCAATAAAACAATGTCACTCGATTAGCATATCCTTAAAGTATTGCCGAAATTAAAATAACCTACGAAAAAAGCCTCACTGTCTGTCAATGAAAATCATCCGATAATGATATCGATTCTATGCAAACACAGCCAAGCCTCAAAAATGAAACTAATTTGAAATTTCCACGAAGCTCCGATCCCCAAAACAAATTTCCAACAAACAAAAAACACCATACAGCTCTTCCCAATAACGTATCAATTAATCCTGTTAACCCTGTATCGTTATACCGAACGCGTAGAATTATAGAAAATATGTAAAAAAGAAAAATGATAAAAAAAAAATAAATATTTTTTTACGATTTTATTCAATCTATACGATTCGCGTATCGAATCCACGGAATTCACTTATATTCGCATGTATAAAGTAGCAAGTGCATCTACGACGACTGACGATTGACATGAGATTCGCGCAGCGTCCGCGGGACATATACGCGTTCACCCCCCATATAGATATACAGCAATACAAAGTCAGCACAGTGTATAGACATATAGCTACGAACATGAATTTTCCGACGATCTCTAACTTCCCCTCGTAAAATGCATTTAACGATCAGCTTGCATAAAAAGAATTAAACGAAGGAATTCAAGAGATCGTCTCGATTTCACGCAATCAGGATGTAACGGGGTGACAAGTACTTCAGACTCGGCTGATAAATGCATTCTGGTACGTTATACCGGACGCAGCTATATACATGGGTATGCATCTGGAATACGTCATCATCATAATAGTACTTGAGATACCATTACCGTCTTATCATAATATAGGTATGAATGATGTGAACATATTACATACATGTATAATAAAAAAAATCTTTTCTATCACACACCTCCCCTATCTGAGCATGTAAATATACATACGTATCCAAGTAAGGAATTACTGTAAAAAAAGTACGTCGAATGGTGTCATTGAAAAACTATAAATAACAAGTGAATAATCATACGTACGAAACGTATAGAAATATTGTTATGCGTATCCGAGATTTTCACGAATGGTGAAAATACGTATAAATATTAAATACTTGTTTATGGGTTCGTAATAGAATTAAATTTATTGATTTTTTGTATTTTCATCAACGTAATAATTTGCGTCTAGATTATTATCATCCCTTGTCCTGTCAGTGTTGTACGCACTTAACGCGGACACGCATTGCGCATAGACGCCCCATTGTGTATTGTACGCATCTGATTTCTCATTTAGCGACATTCATTACGAGCTATATAATTTGTCAGAAATTGTATAACTGAATGCGAAGACATTCTCACTAATTTCACGGACTATTCCGCTCGATTACAGCGGTCGGAATTAGATCCCTTCTATCCTTAATGGGACATTGTACAGAGAGTATGGGACATTGTACAAGTGTAAGGGAGCATTGCCGAGCCTTGCTCTTCACGTCGCAAATGAATGCCATAGCTTAGAAAGGCGACTCGAGAATCGAACCATTAGCGTGTGGCCCTTCGCGAAAATATGTCATTAATATGAAAGTTTCCACGAAAGCAAAACACTTGATACGGGGCGACCCGAGAAACTAAAATATGACGATACCGGAATTATGATAAATTGGTGAAAATCAAGTTAGAATTTAGTTTGAATAATAAAAAAGGAAAGTAGGGATAGGGATCTTCGAAAAAGAATTGCGTGGAGAACTTGAGTAAACTGAAAATTCTTGTAATTTCTTTCGGGAGTTTTCCAATGTCAAGAGAATTCATGGTTTTTCTTAAGTCAAGCCGCTATGGTAATTACCGATAAAGTTTTAAGTGCGCTCCTCGCGATAGCAATGCCCGTAACTTACCGAATCTTATAACGTTAAGGATTCGCCATACTTCGTTAACTCCTATCAGTAGCATAACCAGTATTATCCATTTGAAAATTTACGAGTCTTGCCGTCTCGCTTGTTACTACGAGACCGCAGCACAGGATAGGAGTTGCTTGAGGAGTCTATTATTTCGACAAACAAGACAGCGTATTGAAAAGGAACCCGAGCTTTGGGATCGAGAGCAGCGAGAATGTCATTTATGCTTATTGAGGTCGGAAATAAGTGGCCATGACATCTGGTGGCGAAAAACAGAAGTATTGCAAGAGTTGGCTTTTCATACGCGCTACGAAGATTTGACATATAGTGCATGTAGATCAGACGATCAGTGCACTCTGTTGGGCGTCACTAGGAGGTTTCGCCTCTATGTCAGATGCCGATAGAGAGAAGACGGCCGTCGAGAGTATAGAGAAAAGAATCGACGCTGGTATCGATAGCGATATAGAGGGCAGCAGTGAGGCGATGCCAAAGTGGAATGGCGGAGTGCAGGAGTGGGCACTTGGGCAGGATAACGGGCGACTTACGAATATGATTTATGCCCCAATATAACTGGGCAGCGATAAAATAAGGAGCCATCTTTAGCCAAGAGGGAGTAGGGGAGGAAGGTGCCCCAGAAAGCTCGCACCACGTGGCCCCTTCGACCGAAGGGGGCTTGAAAATTAATATCCCGAGCTAGAAGCGAAGTAAAAGTAATCCGTCGCGTCTGTCCTCGGCAATACTTTGCCAACTTCAATCCCTCCTCCCGCCCTTCACTTAGTCTCTCTCGTTTTACGTTACTACTCTTTCCTCCTCTCGTCCTCGTTTGACGACGTTGCTTCTGCATCCCAGTTCTACCTGAACTGTAGAACCCATAGAACGAATCCGCGTTCTCTAGGAACAGGTGGAATCCTGGCTTGGACTCTAGGGATCTCGTTAGCTCTGAGATTCATGGACTAGGGCGGTATGGAGGTCCTGGATTCTCGAACTTCCGTCAAGACGTCTCATTGATTTTTGACACTGGGTCTTATGTGTGTATCCACTTTGGAATGTTTGATACATTCTTTTCCCGTTCCGTGAAATTCGGCGGTGACTAATCGTGCGGATGATATTTAAGGTCGATTTCGCGGAAAGTTCGAAATCCCCCAGGTTCGAAAGGTATCATCCGGTTGGCTGGGATTCACGGGAAGACGATAAGATAGAGGACTTCATCACCGCAACTGATTGCTCGATTTGTCAGCTCGCGTAACGGAGTTCGGTGTCCTCAGCTTCTCTTAATGGTTAATAGAACCAGTCGAGCCGATCGGACGAGCTCGTTTAGCGCTCTTTCGAATCATCGATCCGACGATACTCGCCGGTATACCTGAGAAAGAGAGAGGGATGAGAAGGAAGGGAAAGAGAGAGAGAGAGAGAGAGCAAACTATCATTTCTTTGATTTTTATTTCCCATTTCTTTCCGATCTTTCAGCCGCTACGTGCGGCAAGAGATTTCCGATATATATACCTTTGGCGAAGAAGCCGAACGTCGGGTGATAATAAATGGGAATATCTTTATATCAAAGTGAAGAACAAGGATTCGATACGCTGTCCAGAGAGACACAGTCCTTAGTCAATGAGAATGAAGAGTGTCCGCCATTTTCCTGCCAAATTTAATAAAGCGTAACCACGTGATAAACTCACCCTCGCTCAGGGAAGCGGCTTCTCACTACTGGTAGATGATAAAAAAAAAACAGAAAAGGAAGCAAAGAGAAAAAATAACTTAAGGAAGACACATGGCTGGAAAAATCCTAATGAATAATAATGGCCCGAATCGTTATGGCGCAGAGCCATGGAACTGTATGGCGAGTATTTTGGGCCTCTCCGGAGGACTCTACGTATTCTATATATCTATACAGCTAAAAGTAACAGCAGTATCCGCCGTTTACCTGGTTTCCTTAAATTTTCATTTTCGATTCCCACAACTCCACTGTCGCCGTCGGGCATTCATAAAGTGTGAAGACGAGACAAGGAGCACGGGGCACTTACAGAGTGAAGGGAGCTGATGATTTCTCGCCGGTGAGCAATGTTATCCAAAGTGAGGAAAAGTCCCCGGGCTTTATCGGGGGTAGGTGGGGAAAGGAGGAGAGGGTAAATGAGAGGTCCAGCTGAGGATTAAAAGCTTTACGGGAGCGCCGGGATATTTTACAACGAAGTAAAGGCTTGAATGGATAAAATCAACACCCCCCACCGTCCCTTATCAATGTCGTCCTCGCAATGACGATGAAAATCGTGAACAGTCGGGCTAAGCGAATCGTGTGTCCATGTCTTCTCCCTGCAGCACTGGGCGGTGGGGCTCACGCTCGTTCCGGTATCAAAGTGTCAGACTCTCGAACTCCCCAGAGATGTATCTGGATATTTTGCGACCACTCGACAGCAACGATAACGCGAGAAGGGGATGAAAGCTTTCGAGAAAGGCCGATCGACTCACTTTGCAGCCACTTCAGTGGTAGCGACTTAAAATCCCATTCGGTAGTCATGGCGACGCCGTCAAGATCTTAGACAGAGACGTAAATTCAACTTAGGTTAATATCTAGTTTATACATGACGTAGAGCAACACCCTTAATACGGCGGCCCTCGGCCTATCGACCCCTTTAACCCTCCGTTATGCCTCGCCTTGAATACTTTATATTTTACAACGCGCTTGCTTCTAATAATCAAGCCTCGTCGAGGTATCAAGGGTCGGAGGGGGGGGTAACGATTTTGAAGATTGGTCTCTGGAGAATTATTACCTTTTCCCAGAGAACAGCCATGTCGGCCTCACATTTACACAGTCTTCTGTCACTTTACGGCCAGTTTTAAGCTTGCGCTTTCATCCCCTGTACTCAAAATCCTTCATCCCCTCTTCATCTCAACCTTAACCAACCGGGCAGAACTTGACTCTTCGTCTCTCAACAATCTGCAGCCATCATAGACATCACGATGGCACAATCAGGCTTGGTCGTTAAGCCACACTTGTTCCTGAAAATATGAATGGTCATAAAACGGAACTTATTATTATTAAGCTATTTCTGTAAACCCAATGGAATGGCGTTGGACTTTTAACGCGTATCTCTATAACTGCACAAAAGTCTGTACACTGTTGGGCAGAACAAAAAATAAAATCTTTATATATGTCTGTTACCATGTGCCAGCTTCCCATTGGTCGCCACAATTATTTGTCACTCTTAATCCCAGATCGCGTGGAACCGTCTTGAAATCCTTCCGTGAAATAGATGTTTTATGATCTGATGAATGGAGGTCTAGAGGTGCAGACATAAGAATATAGTAAACAAGGCTGATATTGGTGACGGGTTTGGTTTGTTTTATAGGGTTTGATAAAGCGAAAAGAATAATCGCAGCGACGCTTCTTACGTAAAGTGACGTCCGTCGTTTTATCCGGATCTCTGAACGCCCATGATAGCAGAGGTCGTCCTGACCTACTGATTATCCGATCGTTATATCATTCGCGAGTTGTTACTCTCGCTCAGGGTCGTCATATTTCAAGCGATGTGCGCGCGCGACCTTTTGTTTGTCCAACAAACAGTAATGATCGTATATCAGCCGATTTTCGAAGGCCCCCTTGGCAAGCGGTAAAATTTCATTTCGTGCCTAGCCGGCGTGCATGCCCCGGGCAAATTAACTGGGAAAACGTTCAGGCAATAAATAATAACGCTCTAGGCAACCCGTGTACACCCTGACCCATCCTCATCCCCATGTATATACATATCTACCATCCGCGATCCCTAAAACCATCTCTATACCTGCCTGTCTGCCTGCCCAGCTGGCTGGTTGACTCGTTGCTGCCTAACAGCAGGCATTCGAAAAGCCGGAAGTAATGAAAAGATAAACGGAAATTTATATATGTTAACAGTTCAGGAGAGAGGCTACAAAATGTAAAGATGATATTTTAATCGTGCAAACAAAAATGTCAAATTCCAGCTACGGTAAAAAGTGAAAATATGTTCGAAGATGAATTGAGAACGTGTGAGCATCGTCTAGATCTAATACATTTAAGTAAACCAAAAAATCGATTGCTGAAGTAGCGATTTGTAAACGTATAACTTCAGTTAAGCCTAACCTCAGTTTCAAGAATGCTTGTTACATACCTTACGTCGTTCATCTTACGTGGATTGATTCACCATTAGGAATTACGTACTTTTACTGCATACTTAAAGTTTTTATATTATTCATAAACTCCAGGGCACAATAGAACATCACTTCACACTAATTCTCACATAAAAGAGGCACACAACACTAAGCACAATGGAACACGTCGGACGAAATTGACATTTCGGCTAGTTTCGACAAACGCCGTTCGCGTCACTAGAAACCGTTCCGAGCGCCATCTGTGATATTTGCCAGTTATTAACTCTATAGACAAACTGCATTAGCCTAGCGCCAAGATACGAATATTAATATAATTCTTTTTATTTTTCTCTATCAAAAATCCTCGAATAAACCCATCGACCTTTCTCAAGACGACTGGTGGAAGTTCAAGGTGAGTGCATCTCTAGATCGAATCCAATGGCTGCCGTCGAAACGATTTGACACTTCGGTGCTCGATAAGCAGTTTAGTCGACAGGATTCTCCTCTTTCACCACTATGTACTAACTTCGGGCGTATCACTAAACGGATACGTGTTGTATATATACAAAAGTACAGTGTGCAATAAGAGAACGTAGAAATGGCTTATCGTATTTACAGAAGCCCGTATACACAAGAGTACGAATATTTGTATTCGCTAACGTCACACAGGTGTATCTCCTACTCTGGCACATCTAACCTCTTCTGAGCCACCCATGACCCACTACCTACCATGATACATTAAACATACACAAACAAATGACATCACGACCTTTGGTTCAAATCCCAAAACACCTTTCCCTATCTTTCTGTTTTAGAAGACTCGTATCACAAGCACGAAATGCCCGACGCTCTTTTATATCCTCTGAACAATTTTATTCCACCATGACGGAAGAGACGAACTCCAGGAACGGTGTCAAGTGTTTCGATCTCTCTTGCATCGAAAAGTCACTCGCTCAACGTCCTCGGCATCGTTCAACATCCCGTGATTCTCCACGCTACGTTACCTTGGACTACGTAAGCAGCTATTTTATTCCGTTTTATTTCACTCACTATTTCATGAAATATCTAACATATAGATTCCGTATGCAATAGCTTAAACTTGTATCCTCTACGAGAATCATCCTCCAATCTTCCTAAGAGGGAAAACGAGGAGGCTCGTGATCACGATGTAACTTCGAGAGGAAAAAGTCGCGATAGTCAGGTATACCTCCATCCGTTTTCAACCCCCATTTGAAGATAGTCTGGACAAGGGTGTAAGGAGAGGGTAGCAAAGCTGCATGAAATCCTCGCGGGCTGTTTCTAGCTGATCATGGGATAAGGGAGTTTGCGAATTGCTCCCAGGAACGCGATACAGTTTTACCCTCTCGTGGGAAGGGTCGGCTGATTATCCATTAGTGGCTCGAAACTGTGGCGAAGTGATGAAGGGAGACTAGAGGGTGGGAATGAGAATGAAAATGGGAATAAGAATGGGGCCAAATGCAAGTGGTGTGGATAACGAGTATGAAGGGAGGGAATATTCATGAAGTTAGCTTGCAAATCGAGATTGCACAGTCAATGAGATTGCAAGCTTAATCTTTGCTCGTCGCATCGGGTTCTGTTTCTCAATCCTATTAATGCTTTTCCACCCTTACTCCACTCCGACGTCTTGCTCCCATTTATATAAGCTCCAGCCTGGTAAAGCTTTAGTCCCTCTCCAAGGGACTGCTCCTCTACATGAGAATAAGGGATGCTCTCTTCCATGAAAATAAGGGATGCTTCCTCTCGCGAAGTCAACTCGTTCGCGCAAATATTCTGACTGGCTGAGAACTACCGTTCAAATTCCCCGAAGAAGAGCACTCGCGAACTCCCTACGTTGCTGTTTCAGTTGTTTCCAAATTGGCGTAACCTAGTTTTCACGTTTTCGCACTTTGGACATCACGTTGATTCGTGCAGCATTTAATTGATCCTTTTAAAATACCTGGTAGCGGTATAATTATTGCGTTGAAAAAAAAAAATAAGTAATTATTCGCATGAAATACTTGCTCGATTTCATGCTTCGCGAATCAACGTAATTTTATTCGAGAGAGAAAGAGAGATATTTGTCCGAAAGATTCCATTAGGCAAATTTCGAATTGTCCATGGGTTTTTTTTTTATCAAGGGTAATGTGTGGCGAATCAATGGAAATCAATGAAAAATCGTTCATTAACGTTAAAAAAAAAAGACCATTGGCAATAAGCATTTTTCCTTAGGATTTGCCTAATTTCACCGATCTCACGTATTTTTCTTCTCACCACTTTTTATACCACTTTCGTAAATTTTTGACTCTTCTTTTAGAACTGTGGGCGTTCCATGGGGTAACGTTGCCACGTATGCGTGCACGTGTCGCCGAAAAGCCAGTCTCGTTAACATAATGATCTACGCCTTGTCTCCCGTATACATCCTGTATTTTCCTTGAAAATCCAAAAACTCCGTAGTACTAAACGCCAAACGAAAATAGTATCCACTATCATATAAGTAATGCTACACTAACGTGATAGGAGCAGTCTAGAAATGAGTAAAGAATAAGAAAAGGGGACTTCGGTCTCACAAAAGCAGTTTAGAAATATCGAAAACGTTCCTCCAGTACGTTCGTAATACGATAACACTCTTATAACCCTCGCCCCTAAAACAGAGAGCATCCGTAAACGAGTATTTTTAATTATCGCATAAACCCTCCAAAGGAGGATCCTAAGCTCTTACCTAGATCAAGTCTGAAGCATGTGCGTATAGAATGGATAATAAAAATGCGTACTTACCACAGGATGAAAGCTTCCTTAAAAATGTATAAAGTGACTCCGCCGCTTAAAGCAAACCGATGAACATAGGCTAGGTAGATAAAGTTTTGGAATTCGTTATACTAAATTTTCAAATAAAAAAAAAATATTTTACACCCAAGAACAGATATAATACCTGAATTCTTGCAGAGGACCAAGCATGATCTTTGCCATTAAAAATTTTTTGTATCTCCTTACTTCTCAGAACTTTAATTCAAAGCGCAGTACAGCACATGAGGTGTCCATGAAGTACAATAATCGTACTAGGCAAGATATTCTCCAACGTTAATCCTGCTAACGAAAATACAGCGTGTACAGTTTGAAACGGAACACAAGCTCATTCATGCTCTTTAGCCAGGCCGAGCTTAATCGTGCTAAACGGTTATGAATGGCCATGGCAAACGGCCGAGTGTGTATAGCGCTATACCTATATACGAAACAGCGTCTAGCATATATAGGTATTACGAATTAGAACCATTAGCGTAGAAATGCGCGCGCATATCCAGCACTACCCCTTCGTACAGTATAAGCGTAATGACTTAAATTTTATCATTCTCCCTTTCCTCCTTTTTTTTTCTCTCTTAAAACTGGACTTTGTTCTTCGCGTCAAACGCATTGCTTTTTTTTTTTTACCGGTCGTCGCACCCGACACGGTAGCCACTTTCCATTTATTTTATTCCTTAACATTTTTTCTCTCCTTCGTCCTGCCAATTTTCACACTCCCTTTCTCCGATATATCAACCAATTAGCGACCCTCGTAAATTCCATGCTTATTGAATCCGACGCGCTCCTCCTCTCATTACTCGTGCATGGCTGTGTCTGCCGTGCATGTAGGATATGCTTTGAACTTATTTATACGTACAGATTTATTTATATGTATGCCCGTGTGTTTGTACAGAAGGGTAGCTTAGCGACGAATCTTTTAACAGGCTCTAAAAACAATGACAGTTTTAATGATTCTCATATTATTCCTTAACGGTACATTCGCAAATCATTTTTATTTGTCTTATCAATTCTCTTTTTTAAAAAATATCAAGAAATTCTAACGTGACAGCTACCGTGTTCTGTCTGGCTGATTTCCTTCTTTGTCCCTCAGGAGGAAAGATGATTAGGGGATCTTTCGGTGGTAAGCGTGACTGAAATTGGTTTAGTGACGTTTCTTCATCCCTCAACAACATCTAGTATCTGTCTTTTTGTACCCTTTTTATTCTCACTCTCTCTCACTCTCTCTCTCTATATATATATACATATATATATTTTCTCTCTCACATACTGCCTATCAAAGACTACCTTATCACATTTTTTCATTGGTTGTTATTGGTTATACACTCTCTTTCTCCATTTCTCTCTCTCTCTCTCTCTCTCTTTGTTGTGGTACCGCAACCTTTTATAATCTGCGTTCAATCTTCCTCTTGGAACTGACGAGTTTACTCTACGAGGTTAACAAGGAGATATCGTGTCAAATACAGGCGAATTGGCGAATGGCGAGGAGGACCGAATATAAGGATGAGTATAAGTGAAGTCTAAGGGCGGAACTGACGGGGACGAAATGCGAAACCCTTCAGTTCCTTCACCTTGACATTGTAGACATTGTTTGAGATGCTATTAGGCTCCGTCTAATCCAGGCGGAAATGACAAAAAGATTTTACGCCACCTCGGGCCAAGACACAGAGTAATGAGCGATAGAGATTGGAACGGACTAAGGGATGAAATCAGTAAATAAGGGCGAAATAATCGACTGATCCGGAAATCCTTTCACACCCCCTAACCTTGTCGTTAATCGATTTCAA